CCCCCCACCCACTGAATGTATAGGATGGGTCAATAACTATTATTTGATCAAGAGATTATCTTTGCTATTTTAAATGAATTGATATCTCCTAAGCAGATTGGTCCATGATAAGATCGTTATCACCATACGACGGTCCCTGTATCCTGTGTTACTTTAGTCAGAACAATTTCCGTAAAAACGCAATATTTTTTTTATATATTTAAAGTCCTAATAGTTATTGACCCATTCTATATTGTACCTTGGGTTAAATTGTTTTTCATTTGCTAAAGTCTTGTCAATGATAACTTGAGGAAATTAACATTATCCCTTTGAAATGTATTCGTAGTAGCTTACAAGCTGCCACGGTATATTCTTTGATATCAGTTTGAATGGAGTCAACATAGCTGCCACTCTTTGGTTACATTCAGAAAAGTAACCAGTTATGTTTGACCAGACAGCTTTTGTGTACCCCTTACCCTAGGGGTATATGAAAAGCCTGGGTTAGGTTACGTTAGTTGTGTATACGGTTTCGCATGCGAGAACGAATGCCAAGTACGATACTCCTTCAGTACAGTAATTGTCGGATTTTGTTTTTCCTCCACTTGAAATTTTACCTACCCCAGGATATTTCACGAGACTAGGCAATTGACTTTTCTTTTTTCTTCCCACTTATCCATCCGACTTACCGGGATAGTTACCTGCTGCCGTTGAGTCAAATTTACGCAGAGGGCGTTACTGCGGAATTTTAAATACTCGTGAGGTTTAAGCCATGTTTTTTTTTTTTCCTTTTTCAAAATCCTCGAGCACACGAGCTGCGAGAGGTTCGTAATGGCGCGTTCGGCTTGAGATTTGTAGCCACGTACCCTTTCATAACTTCCTACCGGAAACGAGCAGAAAGTAAATAGGAATCAAAGGATTTTGGTAATTCGTAAATTTCGATAGATAATTATAATAAAATTGTCAGGTCTCAGACTTTTATTACGGCTAATATATTCCCAAGGAAGGGACGTAATATCTGTAAAAGTTAATTGAGAATATCGAAATGATGACGCAGCATCCCTCTGGCTGATACAGTACTTAGGTTCAACGGTTCAACGAGCTTAGATGTATGGTTCGTCATAAACTTTTTATGAGAATCGCATAAAAGTTGGGTAAGCGTTTCGGGTTCGTACGGTACTGTCGCTTCTAGGTAACGTCTAGTCCGTAATGCCTGATCACTCCTCGCCAGTAGTGGATCCTTTCAAGACTCACAGACCACTGCCACTAAACCTTGCAATATTAAACAGACCCGTCCGCGTTTTCCACCAAGATTCGTATTTCCCGCCAGCAAGTTAAATACACGTCAAACCCAATATATAAAAAATAAATGAAACTCCAATATAAGCATCATTCTATTAGCCAGTCCCGTGAAAAGCTCTACCGAAAATGATTGTAAAGTTTTTTTCTACCATTAAAAAAAAAATATCCCGCAGTTAGAGACGAAGAAAAATTCACAATCTTAAATTCGCAAGCCACCGGTCGGTTCGCTCGCAAAAAAATAAAACTCTTCCGAATGCAAAGGAGTCGGATTTCTTAGGTCGCTTTGCGTCTTCGTAGAAGAAACGGATCTCCTTTCTGGGTACTCTAAGCTTCTTACATTCTTTTCTCTTTTACCACTCAGTATTTTTTTCCCTCCTCTTTTCTTCCCAGCAGAAGATTTCATCAAGGACGCTGGTATGATGGTCGGATGATATTTTAAAAAATTGCGAAACCTCGTCACGCGAATAGATCGATTAACGTAACGTGGCGGTTATATTGCGGTTTGAAAACCGTATATATGCGTGGGTAGTCATTCCATGCTGGAAATTAAAAAAAAAAAAAAAAAATTCGTAATCTACCCGTTGCATTACCATAAAACAGCGACGAATTAGCAGTTTAAATTGTTTCTAATAATTTTCATGTAATTAAAACCATAATCTGTCTCCATTGCGAATCACGATCTCGCGTCGAATGGACCTCACATAGAAATTCCACGAGAACGTTAGTTCAGCTAACGCGGTAACTAACAGCAAACAAGGGATAATTAGAACAAGAGGTAATTACAGAACGGGGTGTATTCAAATCTCTCTGCGACACTGCAGCCCCATGGTATAAAGGTCATTTAAACAACTGATTATACCCTAACGTAGAAAGTTCGTAGCACGTGTTCCAATTACATTAATCACTAATTACGTCTCTCCCCTAACTGCCGTCCCATATAAAGAAGCTCCTCGTGCTACAGACGCATACACGAGAATCGCTCGTAAATGGTAATTTGAAGTATTCGAAAAAACAAAGATGATTTTCAGGTAACAGGTATCAAAGTAAGAGCTATCATCCCGCGACATGGTAAACAGATAAGTCGAACGTAATCAGCTCCGATAATAAATACGTGTCAGAATGTTTCTTTGGCTATTATATTCCTGACGCACCGTACCCGATTCCCCTTTGCTGGTTACAACATAAATTGTTTACGAGTACCGTCATAAAGTCAACGTGTACTTTGGACAGGCTTAACATTATCCTGATATGGAGAGTGCAAGTGCGCTTGTAAATGGTCGTATGCACGAACGCGAAAGCAATCCGCGTGGATGATCCTCCGTATGAAAATAATTTAGTCCCCGCACTGAAAGTCGCGACGTTTGTTCCAGGTGTACGCGGATTGGGCAATGTCTCGATAAAAGTCCCGCTGGCTGTGGCAAATGGGTCCACTGTCAATATGCTGTGCTCATTCAATCTGGAATCGGATACACTTTACACGGTTAAGTGGTATAAGGGTCTCCAGGAATTCTTTCGATACGTCCCAAAGGAGATGCCGCACATCACGGTATTTGGACCGCTGGCATCAAAAGTCGACGTAAGTATTATTGCATTTGCCGCTCGATCCCTGATGGAAATCGCTTCAAGTTCTATGATTGAATTCAAACATCGGAGGGGACCCGCTTCAAAAGGACGACACTATCGTGGCGGGAGTTTCGAAAGTGGCTGTCGATGACATCAACCGAAGGTCCACGGACGAGTGCGTCCACGTATTTCCGATGGGACGCGTAGCTGGGATACTTCGAAAGTAAAGAAGTCGAGTAAAAAGAATTCGGACAGAGTACAAAAGAAATCCCAAAAAAAGATTTACCTCGTATGGTAAATTTATATACCTTTTAGATTTTACGACTGGGAATGTAACGACGGCAATTAAATGTGAAAATATAACGAAACAGGAAATTGAGATAATGGTAGGAATTAATTTGTTAATCCAAAAAAAATTACCTTCGTTACGGACATTACCACGTGTAATCATTGACTCGTAGAAGGTCAAAGGTCTCTCACCCTGAAACATTAAAGGGGGATGGAGCACAGGGAGCTAAGGAAATTTAGGCCAATTTCTCGTCTCGAGTAGAAATGGCTGCCCAGCCGAGTAATAACTCACGCAATGCTTTTACTTACGCTTCCAGCACAATGTTATGATTTTTGATCGCCGTCAGATATGTCGCGGTTCGTTTCCTTCGTTTCTTTATTCCTCGTAGCATAAATCGTTATACGTTTCTGGGGTAATTTCCAACGTGCGAAAATGGATTTTCGAATGCAACCTGCCGGCAAGCGCGAACCGCGTAACATTAATAAATCACAGCAAGAAGCAAAATAACGTATCGTCGATCCGTGACGTTCCGCAGACTCCGGCATTGCGATTAAAATTCATCGAAAAAAATCCAGAGCGAAGAACAAATTTCCATGTGACGCAGGTACACGCAGGTAAATAATCCAAATGCGAATCAATTATAAAAATCGATGCATTAGCTTGATTGTAAACAGTCCGTAAAATTCTCCACCGCAGCATTGACAATCTCGCATGAAATTCTACACGGCACTTCCGCTCGGACGAGCGAAATTGATTGTATGATTTATCAGCTGCCAGAAGCAACATATAATCAATTGTGATTTCGAGGTATTATTTGCAGCGGTCAAATCGATTCGCAATAAATAGCACTTAGCTCCGTATGCTTGGTCAATCCGGTGGTTGGCTAACACTGGATCAGCTGAAAATTCGGGAGATATTTCCCATTGGCCGTTCGACCAAACGGACAGATGTTCGATAACGCAACGGATATCCGGTAAACGAAAAAAAATATAATAAGCCGTATATAACCGCGTACGAGGAATACGTATGAACGCGTATACTGTACACAGAGCAGGATACGTAGCTAGGTACATATTTATGCATAAAGGTGCATCCATAGAATATCCCAGAGCCAGAAGAATAAATCGGACGGTCGTCGGTCGCGCCATTCGAAATTCACCGAGGCGAAGTCGTATCGTTCCTGACAATTTCTCGGGGCAACGCCTCCCGTCTACGAACGCCATGGCCAAACATGCATTATGCAATTGGCTTTTGATGCAATGCGCGAGAGTCAAGAATTAAGTACGTGCAATCCGGAATCTAATATACTCTTTACAGATAACCCACAGCAACCAGCACAACCTTATACTGAAGGATGTACAGCACGACTTGGCCGGCAGATACCGTTGTGAAGTCTCGGCAGACGCGCCGTCATTTCACACCGAACTTCTCTCCAGTTATATGCACGTAGTCAGTGAGTACATTGCGCGTCTCGAAAAAATACATTTGTTTCGTAAAATCAAGAAGCATAGTGCCAAATTAGATTATTTAATGTGAAATTTCCATTACTTAGAGTTCATCCGAATGATGGTATTAACGTTATTATATTTTCATCAAACTTTCATCTCCTTCCCTCTGGTTCCCTGTATTCACGATCTTTTACATTTCACTCTCGCCATGAGTCAAACCTGACTTTAGCGCCATAATAATCGTACCCAATTAAAAGCCCATTGGCCCCATTACGAAACTCATTTCCTGGTCATCCTAAATGGCTAAGGAATATTCCCTAGTACGTTTTAGTGAAATACTTGCCAATCATGCCAAACCAATGGTTAGGGGGCTTACTGCTATATTTATTATCGATATACCATAGCGCTCGGTCGTAATACTTCTCCGATTGACAAGCAACGTCCGTATATGGTCTTTGATTATCGCAAGGAATTCTTCTGGGATCTTCTATGTGTTCGGTTCAATTTTCTTCGCCAATACTTTTTATGTCTTTTGGATATCCAGGCCTTAATTCTCGCTCTTTTTCTCTCTCGCCAATGGATCCCTCCGTGCGTGCTTTTAATACAATCTTGCGGGACAGTTCGATCATACGGGACAATGCTTTACCGGTTTCTCCACGGGCTTTTTGTCACCGCCTACCAGGGAAACAGTAGAGGATGAGAAGTGGACAGGTCGTTATACATAAGAAAAAAAAAAAAAAAAAAAAAAAAACCTACCTACGTCCTATTGTTGTATCACGGTGCTACACGTTTCAGCTCTCCCGCAAGGAAATCCTAGTATACACGTCGAAAAGCTGCGATACGCAGTTGGCGACACTGTACGAGGGAACTGTACGGTACCACCGGGAAATCCAACGTCCAACGTTACCTGGACCGTTAACGAGCATCGGGTGAGTCTGTGGTTGCAGGATATCCTATGAAATTGCCAGGAAACGGTTCTGGTGGAAACGAGAATCAAAAATAAAATTACATAACAGGCAATGTAAATATTTTGTCGGGAACATGTTTTTCCGACATTTCAAATGAAACATTATTACATTTTAAATCGTGACAATCAAGTTTGACTGTACGTAATGATAACATGGGAATATGTTTTTCGTACGTATATACTTTTCGTTTTTAATTGTCATTTCCGTGCTCAAATATGGTATTCGTTTGAAATTATATATCAACGTTCACGACGTGCGAGGTTGCATACGAACGCGAGCGAGACGGTGGTGCGTAAGACGATATTAAGACTTCTCGTGCAAGAACGGAGGAATATCTTAGTGATAACTGAACCGTTCGAATTGACGCGACACAGCGAAGTGGGCTTTTCTAGGACAAAGCAATTTGCATATTTATTCTGTGGAAATATGAAATCAATCTCCGCGAAAGTGCACTCGGGCAACGAGAACAACCAAACCCACTTCACCAGTGAATACATTAGTGACGGCTGTTATAGAGCGTCGCTTAACAAATTATAACTACTTATTTTTTTTATTCTTTTACTATTATCGATCCCTTCTGGACTGATATCTGATTTACCATTCCTGAGCATAGATATGACGTAATAAGACATTGTTTGTTACGACCTATAACTTTTTGGTACAGACCTATAGACACGTATAGTCTGTCTTATGTTTTTATCAGCGACATGTTGATGTATTTTTTCTTTTTTTTTCAAGGTGAACTCCAGCTTCTTATCTAATATCTCAGCGAACACTGGAGAAAACTTGCAGATCACCATTGCTGGATTGGATTTTGAAATAATTCCGGACAGCTTTAGCAACGGAAGGTTGCATATCACTTGTCGTGCCAATCTCTTTCATCTTTATCAAGCCGAGGCTGATATTATTCTTGAAGAGGAACGTCCAAGATTAGCTTCAGTGTTAGGAACTCGTGAATCCTCCTATATAGGTAAAGCAACGTATTCGTAGTACGTGAATACGTACCCGCCCTTAGCGAAATTGCGGATGCTGCTTGTGGTCGATACAAGATTAGACGATAATTTCGATGGTTTAATATTGGGGATACGTGTGTGTTACAGGAACTGCTGCGAAACGATCTGAGGATTGGATTTATATGGGTGTGGTCGTCAATTTGATACTGTGCGGCTTGAGATAACATCGATAAACCACCTACTGAATATCTAATGCGTTTGACTGTAATCGACGATGCGGAGGAGTAAATTGTTTGTAAAATTTTTGGAATTATTAAAGCGATGAGGGAACCTTTCGTTGAAACATTAACGTGCGTATATTATTCGTGTAAATAGGATAACTTAGGTAATCTACGTGTAAGGCGCGTATGTATACGTCACATTGTGACATAATTGTAATCTAAGTAATGTTATTGTATTAGATCGGCCATACTTTTACGCCGAGTATCCACGACTTATTTCGAAAATATTATACGGTGTTTTGTATATAATGACTATTACTCCCAAATACCTCCGTAGCTCCTAAATATTATCACTGAGTTACATATATATCAACTACGTTCTATTCAATCGTAAGAGAATATCATTATTCTTGAAAAAAAAAGTCGTTGATATCGAAATAAATTGATACCCTGCGCCGTATTTTTTATTTGCTTGTTAAATTGCATAGAATCTGCGAACAATACTTCTACTACAATGAAACAGGTAAGAAAACTGACACATTTTCAAAGGAATAACTATGGCTTATTATTATGTTTTAGATGATTTCCTATGTGAGTAATAAATGCGATTTAATGATAACCAAGTAATGTTCTCATTAACTGTATGCATTCTGTACCTTATACTACGATAAACTTCAGTATGATCTTTACAAAAATAATGAATGCAAATCATATTTTGAATGCAGTTTGACATTGTAGAAGAATGATAGTGTCAATGAACAGTGACAGAACATATTATTAAATATTAAAATTCTTGGCATTCTTAAAATTCTAGTGTTCTAACGATATTGATTTCTTTTGTTCTCTTGTCTAAGGCTCGAGTGAAATGTGCTTTTATTGAAACGTACATATCCGGAATAATCGTAGGACAAAGGGCTGGATACAACCGTATTTCTTAGCGTGCTTTACATAAAAAATAGACATGTGACAAGAATTTGACGCTCTATTCATTCATTTAAGCCCGCTCCGCAAGTTCTTTCTGTGATGCCATTTGACCCTGGATTTTCATCTCCATGACATCCATGGTCGCTTCACGGATCTTGCTCTTTTCGAGACCAAGCTGCTGAATTTTCTCCATCTGCTCGGTAACATAGGCAACTCTTCGCTTGAAATAATCTTTTGCATCATCAATATCCTTTTGTGCATAATAACCGGTTCCAACATCAACTAGTACTTTCTCCGTATCAGCAAGTTTTCCAGCGACATACATCGAACCTGTCAAGGGTACTAATATTTCTTTGCCTGTAACAAACATTAAGAAACTACACAATTACATATTATGTCATGGTATAAGCATGCACAACTGTACAGCAGCCAGCACATTCTCGTTCACCAGCAACAAAATGTAACTGAGAAATAAAAATAGAAAAAAGAAACATTGTCAAACCATAAGATATTAATAATAACGCATGTGAAAAATATACATGCAAAGTGTCGTATATATTCTAACCTATTCGTTCTACCTACAAAACAACCTTTTCTTATGCAACCAAAAGCACCAAACTCCAAAAATATTAACGAAGCTGCCAAACTTACCCTTAGCTTCAGGGGTGATCTTGTCAAGGCAGGAACCCGACTCTTGGAACTTATTTTGTGCAATTTTTAAGGTCTGCAGAGAATCGTGGAAGACACTAAGTTCTTGATCCAATTGCTGTTTCAATTGAGTCAGCTGTTGCAAGTTCAACTTCGTTAAATCGATCTGCTGCAGATGCGGAGCTTCGGTTGCAGATATTTGTGACATATTTCTTCAATTACTCTTTACCCGTTATTTATTTAAATCTAGTAAATGACACTTCCCGGCGTACTCAGCTTGACAATATGACCAAACATAGGCACGACTTACATCTTGAACTATGAACACGAACTTTGAAAGAAAATGAGTAAGGAGATGCACAACGCTACGGTTTTAGGCGATACCAAAAGCATGGGGCTGAATCCCAGCGGCGAGTCCGGAAGTAGAGTTACGTGATCATAGTCTCCGTCGATAATGCGGATCCCGTCGTGGCCGAACTAACCGCAATCAGGAACGTGTAGCTTGCCGGGCAGAGGCCTCCGCTACTTATCGCTGGTTCCCAAAGCAACACTTAGAACGAGACAGCTCATAGGATATAGCCTAAATACTTTTTTTCTTTGCAAACCTAAATTCAATCCCACAGTGTAAGCTCGGTAAGTTTAATATGACAAAAGCAAGCAACTCATGTCTGCCTGCACTGAAGCCTATGATGCCACCAGCATATTTAATACATATTTTACCGATGTTGCGTTAGCAGAACAATTGTTAAAACCTATTAGGAAGTATAGAACTCTTTGAGAACTATTTAAAAAGCCTTAAAAAATGTTTCAACAATAAGCTTTTTCAAAAGTTGTCGAGGAGTTCTATAGTTTCTGATAGGTTTTAACAATAGTTATGCAACGTAACATCGTTAAAATATGTATTTTAATAGACAGTCCACAGTGTTCTTCTCTCGTCGGTGCGCTATAAACGCGGAATTGGCAAAATCCAGAAGACTCGCGTGGACGAGGAAAAATTATTTAGTACACAGCGGAATCTGCGGTTGATCACTCGGAAACAAGAATAGCTGGAAATATAGTCAGACACTACCGCGCAGCATGGGAACACTTTCGGAATGCATCACCAAAATCTCGCACAAATATAAGTCAGATCTATGCTATACTTCCGGTATCCGCTGAGTATAGCAAATTTATGGCTTTCAGCATGGCCGCTTACATAAATGTTTATGGTGAATAGAAAAAAAAAGGAAAAAAGAAAAAGATCACTTACCCCAGGATCTTCGTCTGCCTTTCTCTTGTCCATTTGTATTGTTCATTGGTCCAGTACATCTTTCGACACTCGAGGTCCACTTTGGTGACGACTTGACGATTCCAGCCTTGGCCACTATTTTGCACTTCCCGTATTTTCGGTTGCGGACTAATTCTTCACTTGTTACGAATACACCACTACGCGAATTTCCGCGAACTTTAGATAATGTCTTCGCGACGCACTTATTCAAACGTATCAATTCACTACGTCACACTTTTTTTTGTAAATGAAGGTAAAGGATAAAGAGTATAGAAAGAGATGGCATGAAATGGGCTGAAGGCCCGAAGAGATTAAAAGAGATGATTTTGATGATACTGATAGGGAATGGTTGTTACAGACATGACACTTGACCGGGGACAAGCGCGATGGACCGGATTAAGCAGGCTAGGGTGCGAAATACACGCTATCGGGCCCAACCCCCACGGACAACGGAGGTCCGGCTAACAGATACCGAAGTAACAGCGGACTGCTGTGACGCAAGAGCTTAAAGGGCCGCGAAGCGACTTCCGACCTTCGACAGACTTTGGTCGCGGACACAAAGCATTGACAAACATGAGTACAAGACTTTGAACGACAAGAGAATATGTGAAAGGCCTCGACTAAGCAGTTGCTTGTGTCCCAGAACCAGAACACGGGAAAAGGAGCCAGGCTATGAAAATTCGCGATCACCCCTAGCCGAGTCGACCGCAACGAATCACTGGGCATCAGCACCGACCGAGGCCGGAAGTCCCCGAGGGGACTTGAATTTACGCTTCAACCTTCGTCACTGCCCGCCGCAAAGCCGAAGCTAGGGCAGGTTAGACGTAAGGAACCACGTTCGATCTCCGAAGACGAACCACGTTAACCCTAGATCAGCGCGCAAAGTGTTTCCTGCAGAGGGTGATTAGAAGTTACCGGGATTTGAGGTCCCATACGCCAAGTGGAGTAGCACAAGCGAACGCAGATTGACGTGACCGCTCCCCTAGAGAGCGCAGTAAGGGATGCCGACGCCAACCCATGACTCCCCACCGCTCAAACCGTCTTGGCATATTTGCTGCGGAGTTTACTGCGATACCAAAGTGATATCACGAAGAAGGTATAGCCCAGCGGAAGAAATTGGGAAAGTATGTAACACAAAGAAAGAGAGAGAGAGAGAGAGTGATAGAATTAGATAATCAAATATTACCTTAGAATATAGATGAACAAAAGAGACAAAGAATCGATGAATGTATCACAACTGTAATGTATTTGCGGAGAGAGGAGAAGGGGGAAGGAAGACCGACAAAACGCGGTTTCCAAGAGGTCGGCTCTCGAAAGACTGACCTCTGCACCAATAATACATTCTTTGTATACCACTGGGTACCCCCTCCCCCCCGCTCGAGACTCCTTTGCAAAAGTGATGCCCCCCTACGACAGGTTTGTCAATTACAACTCGTACAGGGTTCGTGAACGATGCTCTGGAGTGACGATGCAGGCTGATCGGTGCACAGCAATTCTTCGCATTTCAGGATATCGTTGACGCACCCTCTAATGCTCCTAAAGCGAACGTTTCATTAGCACAGCGGGGCTCTAAGTGCGTCTCTCTCGCACGCATACGGATTATTACACTTTTTCTACTACCTATAACTATACTACCTTTAACTTACAACTATACTACCTATACCTTTTTTGAAAAACAAAAAAATGGTTTCTAGACACTATACCTACTACGTACTTATCTTGAATTTACAAAACAACTGTGACGGTGTAAACGATGAAACGCAGTAAAGATGTATTTACCGGAGCTGGTGCAGCTAATCCGTGAAGGCCAAGAAGTGCATCCAGAAGACACTGAGATGGGCACTGCACTAGGACACAGCACTGCACGTCCAGAACACTCACAGAAAATCCATAGAATTTCCTCTCGCAAGAGCAATGCGAGAAGTATACGAGCGATAACTTTCTGTACCGTTTTAAAACACAGCTAGAAAAATTATCAACGATACAGACTGCTTTGATGATAGCCAAATTCGAAAACTAATCATTCTGATTATCTAATTGGTCGAGATCCTTATAGCCGATAACTCTTTCTTTCCCTCATGCCGTCCCTTTGAATCAAGTGGAGAGCGTTCCTCAGCAAATCGGTACGTAGCCTTTGGAGATCCTCCACGGCGGCTTCCCCAGGACATTGGACGACATCTGGGTACCACATCTTTAACTCGGGCAGGAGGTTCCTCCCCTTATCGTAACAAAACCTTATCTCCGCCCGCTCTACAGCCCTTTGCCCATCTCCAGCGGGGCGCCGGCATCTCACCCGAGCTTCTGCCGGTCAGTGGAGACGTCTCCGTCGGGTACTGTCGTCTGCCGTGCAACTCGCTACTTCGAGACTATCTCCCCACGGCATATTCGAGCACCTGGACGTCTACTAAACAATAACGAAATCTTACGAGAGCGTTGGCATATCTATACGAATCAACCCGAGAGCGTAGCTTCTGAGCAGGGTGGTGACTCGGAGGGAACCAGAAGAAAGCGAAAACGTTATCTGTATCGGTAGCCGGAGTTGCCTTTTGACTGTGAATCGAAAAATCACGGCACAACACTTACCCATGTACCAGCGTCTAAATACATCTAAAATAATTGTGTAGTGTATTGCGCTAAGTATTTTATATAAATGTTAAGTAATAAAGTGAATTTATGGGAACAATAATAATTGATAAGGAAAAGACAGATAAGGGTAGGGATAAGCTCAGGAGACTGCTATGACGTTAATTAACGTCCCAGTGGCCCTGATGGTATTTTAGATAAAAATCGACCACGACTGCCACCTTAATTTTTGGAAAGTACGTATTTTAACGGTATTGCGTAGCAGAACTATTGTTAAAACCTATCAGGAACTATAGAACTCTCCTAGAACTCTTAAAAAAGCTTATTGTTGAAACATTGTTAAAAATTGAGATGCTACACGGGTGTCAGCTCCAGCACCGCACTTTTTTAAACTCTCTTAAAAATGTTTCAACAATAGGCTTTTTCAATAGTTCTCGAGCAGTTTTATAGTTCCTGGTAGGTTTTAACAATAGTTCTGGTACGAAACATCGGTAAAATACCTATTAAGGATACTAGTCGCACCATATGCTTTAGTGCAGGTATGCATAAGTAGCTGGCTTTTAGTGTTGTTTTCAGATTGCGCTTCAAACAGTTCCGAAATAGTTCTCTCTAGTACTCAATGTTGGGACCATAGTTCCGCTTGGAACTATTGTTAAATAATGATGGAAGCTAGCACCGCATCGCTGCACTCCTTAACGCAGGCAGGCATACGGTGCTGGCTTTTGGCTTAATAAATCTTATCGAGCTTACTGTACACTTGAATTTAAGATTACAAAAAAAAATATTCAGGCAATATCTGATAAGCGGCCTCTCTCTAAGGGTTGCTCTGGGAATCAGTTGTAAGTTGTGGAGAATCTCTGCCCGCCAGGCTACCCGTTCGTGATCACGTTGAGTTCCGCTACGATGGGATATGCATTATCAACGGAGGCGATGATCACAAAATTCTATTCCCGGACTCGCCGCTACTATTTAGCGCCATGTTTTTGGTATCGCCCAAAACCGTAGCGTTGTGCATCTCCCTACTGATCTCTGGCTACGGTTTTAGGCGATATCAAAAACATGGCGCTAAATCATAGCGGCGAGTCCGGGAGTAGAATTTTGTGACCATCGACGATAATGCATATCCCGTCGTAGCCGAGCTGAATTTTTACGCTTTTTTTAATTTCGCCATTCATTTTTTTATGCTCATTTTCGGCATGATAAAAGCTGAAGAGTGAAAACCAATATTTTTATGCATTTTTTATAACTGAAATGTATTTGAATAGACATTTTTTTGCGCATTACGTCCATACAAATGTTCTGGGCTCGATTAGACGGAATACCTTGCTGCCCCCTCTGTTGGTTGAGAACGATTTGCGAGGGGAGGCAACTTTTTCCCCACCACCGAGCAATCCATTCCGGTTTACGCCGACTGCAATATCGACTGAAACGATAATCATTACCCGCGCGGCTACAGCGGAATTCGCAACGTCGACAGAGGCGATCACAAAATCCTACTCCCGGACTCGCCGCTACGAGTTACTACAAAAGCAATACGTCAAGGCTGAAGTTGGTACACTGAGTAAAAGATAAAGCGATAACTTCACAAACCGCAGTACGTAGTGCACAGTGCATTATGGCTAATTGAGTGATATTGCTACAATTTTGTATAAATGAGAGAAAAAATTGTAAATTTTGTGATATATTGCCAAACAATCTTAAAACTGTGATATTTATAGGAATACACATTATTATTTAGTCAGTTATGATATAAATGTGTTGAAATTGTGAGTTTTTCAATGCTTATAATACTGCTTTACATTCACGAATCTACGACATGTTTTTAAACAAATTTTTTGTTTGTATAATATTTACTTATTAATTTAACAAGTTCCTTCTTAATGCGGTAAAATGTCTTGGATTGGTGAATATATAGTACTAGCTTATTTTTTGCTGTGATTCACCATGTGCTGACTCAACTGGATAGTCTGCAATCAGTTGTAAATACAAAATAAAAAAGTCCATTTACAACATTCTCTAATAAATCTGCTATGCTTTATGTCTGCTGCTTTTTATTTCCTAACCATTGTACATAAAATTTCACACGAACAGCAAGTTAAAATATAAATAAAAAACAGCATTTAGTTATAAATACTTTTTTATCAAACAGTGGTGCAATGCAACAGGTATAATCAAACTAAGATCTTAACATCCTCATACTGATGCAATGTGATGATATGAATTAATGCAAAACTGGGAATCTTTATACTTTAAGCACAAGGGACATCAGTATTATAATTTTTGTTATATTTATACATTGTATATAACATTATTAACTTGGGATCTCAATACTCACTTAGGTATCTGTTACTATTACTCGCAAGATTTCTGAATTACCTTTATTATTAAGGATGCAAAACAATGGAATTATCTCCAAATGGACGTGTACAATATCAAAACATCAAAGATGTTTCATGGGATACAAGTAAAAGAATGATCTCTTTGGAACAAGAACAAATTCCTATACCTATGGTAAATTTGCAAATTTAATAGAATTCTCCACAATCTACAGAACATGATTCATAATCTTAATTATAGGAGACTTTCGATCAGTCAATAAATGATGATAATGGTAAGACTAAAGCAGTCGATTTTGTACTAGCTTATGTGGATAATAGAAACCAAAGTCATATGGAAAGAAGAGAATTATTTGAATCTGAGTTACGAGATCAAGGATTAGAATTAGAATATGAACAAAACCGTCAATTATGTTTTGTTAAAATTCATGCGCCACAGGTAATAATACACTAAATCTTTATTTCTCATTTAAGTCATGAAATATATAATTCATTTTAAAATGTAATTTCTTTCAGGAGGTACTATGCAGATACTGCGAAATCCTAAAGATACGAATGCCAATTAAACAATTACCAAGTGAAAATACGGTCCTCCATGATAGTACTGATTTTTTGGACGATGCTCGATCATGGTTTGCGAGATTATTTAGCTTCGTCCAATTGGACCCTAATAAATTTCCGCCACGCGAATACCAATTGGCAGCAGAATTTTCACGCGACAAGGATTATTTGTATGTTAACAATTCTCTGACTACGTAATAAGAATAACTTGTCGCACGATTATTAACATAATATATAATTTCAGATTTGATATCCAAAATGAAAATTTCTTTCCTACAAACGTTCGCGCTATGGTTGTCGATTTTATTTTAGAACGACAATCTGAGGGAATTCAAACGCTTCTAGCTCAAGGTGTCTATTGTGCGGCTTATCCATTACACGATGTAAGTAACCTAATATTTACGACAATTATTTCATTATAATATTATACTTTCACAATTCCAGGGAACCTACAAAGAACGAGGTAGCATAAGAGCTTTGTTATATGAGGAATGGGGCGCAACAAGTAAATGGTTAAAATTGCAACCAATCGATACGATTCAAGAATATTTTGGTGTAAATTTTGCTCTGTATTTCGCATGGCTTGGTTTTTATACCTATATGCTCATTCCTGCCAGCATAGCTGGCCTAATATGTTTCTTTTACGGTAAGCTAATATTTTATTATCCCTCATAGGGTATTTTTTGTAATTATACTTATTCGATATTAATATTATTTTTCTAGGATTAGTTACCTTGAGTTCTAATCAATTAGCTCGTGATGCTTGCGATCCTGATGCCAATAATGTTATAATGTGTCCTCAATGCGACAAAACGTGTGATTATTGGAGGTTGAGCGAAACATGTCTATTGACAAGAGTTACGCATTTATTTGATAATCCAGCAACCACCATATTTGCTATTTTTATGTCATTTTGGGCAACTCTTTATCTTGAATTGTGGAGACGACGATCAGCAGAATTAAGTTACCACTGGGGATTAGGCGAATGGGATCGCACTGCCGAACACCCGCGACCTCAGTACCTAGCAGCTTTATCTAATTCAAAAATTCTTAAAATAAAAGAGAAGGTGGTTTATCCATTTTTATTATATATATGTATATGATATATACATATATGTTTGTAATTAAGTGGATATTAAACTGTCATTTTAATCATCAGGTGAATACAGTCACGCGAGAAAAAGAACTGCATGTCAGTTTTTGGAAAGTACGAGTACCTGCAACTTTCTTTAGTTTTTCAGTAGTACTTTTACTAGCTTCTGTAGCAGTAGCTGCAGTTTTCGCTGTGGTACTTTACCGCATGTCGATGATTACCTCGAATTCATTATTCGGCCGCGAAGTGGATTCTACGAGTTACAAAATGTTTGCGTTACCAGCCATTGCCGCGGCTATTAATTTGGTTAGCAAACTATTCAGACCAGTATATTTTATTAGGTCTGTTCTCGTTACCTACACTTCCTGCATTTCAAAAAATGCATATTCTTAATGGATGATATTTTTAAGTAACCAATGAGAATCTGCACTTTTTGAAAAGTGCAGAAAGTGTAGGTAACGAGAACAGACTTATTATATTATCTGTGCTCACCAAAAGCTTTGTTTCTAATTAATTTGAAATTGTAATTTTATAGGTTTGCATTCTCATATTGAATTACGTTTATGATTGGCTTGCTGTCTATCTGACAGAAATGGAATTTTTGAGAACTCAAACAGAATTTGACGACAGTCTTACCTTGAAAATTTACCTGTTCCAATTTATTAACTATTACGCATCTATATTCTATGTTGCTTTTCTCAAAGGAAAGTTTGTTGGATATCCAAAGAAGTACAACCGAATACTCGGTTACAGGTATTACTCCACAAAATAAGTAATTAGTTAGCTATGCTAAAGCCAATCAAATAAATAAGTGTAAAGCGTACAAGTAATCAATAATTAATAGACAAGAAGAATGTTCACCTGGAGGATGCCTAATGGAACTGTGTATACAATTAGCAATTATCATGGTGGGAAAACAAGCATTGTATACCGCCATGGAAATGATATGGCCAGTACTATTTAAATGGTGGGCATTATTCCGTATTCACACAGGCTTAAAACAAAAAGATCCAATAGTATCACGCAGTCAGTGGATACGTGATTTCAAACTTTTAGAATGGGGTAAATAAAATCTCTGTAATTCATGAAATACAATAACTTCTCAGCATTCATTAACACAATTAAATATCAAATCAGGTCCCAGAGGGTTATACGATGAGTATTTAGAAATGATCATACAATTTGGATTCATAACACTGTTTGTCGTTGCATTTCCATTGGCTCCTTTATTTGCTCTTGCAAATAACGTATTGGAAATGCGCCTAGATGCCACAAAATTTCTTCGCCATTATCGTCGACCGGTACCACGCAGAGCCCGCGATATTGGAATATGGGCCCGCATTCTTGTTGCCCTGACACGTATATCCGTAACGACCAACGTAAGTACATATAGTACATACATTATCTGCAATACTCATATTAACTAAGAAAATATTTCTCAACAGGCTTTTATCATAGCATTCTCATCGAACTTTATTCCACGACTGGTTTACATGGCTGCAGTCAGTCAAAATAAAACTGACACTGGATTTCTAAATCACAGCCTGGCCTACTTCAACACAGCCGATTTTGCTAATGGTACTGGTCCTCTGTATAGTTCCTTTGACAACGTGACAATGTGTCGATACGTAGAATACAGAAATCCACCAGACCATACCACATTGCCTTACAAACGACCAACTATATATTGGCACATTCTTGCTGCAAGACTCGCTTTTATCGTTGTATTTCAGGTATATTTAATTATTTATTGACCAATTTTCCAATTGACGAGTAGATTTCATCGTGTAAGAGGAGCAATTATCGCTATTCATATTTTACCTTCAGAACGTTGTTGGTGTGGTGACTATGGCAGTACAGTGGTGTCTGTCGGGTATTCCGCGGAAATTACGTGATCGAATTAAACGAGAAGCTTTCCTGACTGAAAGTCTTATTATAACACGTGAAGCCGAGAGAGCAAGACAAAGATCACGTTCACGCAGCAATACATTGGCCAATGTTATTAATAATGCCGTGCGCAAGAGAACTTCTACGTCTCATGAGGATACATAACATTGACGTAATAAGGATAAGAATATTATACAACGATTTTATATTAAGGGTATCATTTGATTAATAATTAACGAACGTATACAATGAACAAATCGATTTAATGTGTCAAGTACGTGACATATTTTTTGTATATAGTTGTGGGAAAGTATGGAAAAAACAAAACTACTCTTTCCCATTTTTTTTTTTAAATTATTGCATTTCAGAATTAAACGATACTCAGGAATCTCTAATGTGACTGAAATTATCATTTCTCTTTACGGATCAATCCTCGCTGGACGATCTTATATTCGGTGCTATTTTAACTGTACAATTATAATATATAGAAAACAAAAAACGAAGAGATAATTTATGGTTGTTCTTAAGTCTTACAATGTAATTATGAAATTAATATATCCTATACAGTTTCTATGTACAGAATTTAACGAAAGTATAATACAGCCTTTGCATTATCTACTATGAACATTTTTATTAATTTTTTTTTACATTTGCTTTACACGAATCATATTATCGATTAATCGGCAGAGTGCGGTTAATGAGAAAACAATTTTACGTTTCGCCTATCGCACTTTGTCATCGACGCCAATGGTAATTAACAGGTTATGTAAGATTGTATTATAATCTCCTACGAAAGACGTACGTGCGTCACGTAGATCCTTAGCATCGATAAATCAAACACTATACGTTTTTGATACATATGCGAGAAAAGGATTTAACCGTGAGATCATTAATTCATAAAGAAAACTTTGACATAAACTTTCGTTCAATAAATACCAAGCAGACAAGAAATTAACATTTATCATTAGCCAATAAAAATTCAATTCCACAGCCATACAATGAACGCGCGTATAACGTACAAAAAAAGAACTATAATTACATAATTTTTCTGTACAGCCAATTGCTACGAGAAAACTGTCCTCAGATAATTCTCGCAATTAGGCATTAACCTTGCACGTCTAATCGCAACCAACTTTGTCCTCACAATTCCAATTGCCATTTAAGAACATTTCCAAACACCATTAAAAAAGCTGTTCCGTCTCGTTAATCCATATAACAACACCCAACAAGCATTATGGCATACCTATAAGTGTCATAGAAAATTCGAATTTTTCAGGTTGGCCTTGATAAGAATGTTGTCAGAAAGAAATCCTAAAGATTAAATAACAATATCGAAACTGTCTTTGTATCGACGTCTTCGACCGATCAGGAAAAAAAAACTCTGGTAACATTATGTAACATCTCAAAAAAGTCCTATAAATACATTCTAAACAGCTGTGCACACGTTGAGTCTCGACATACTTGATTTCACAATGGCTCTGTTACTTGAACTTGAAACTCGCACCGCTTTCGAAGATTATGCAATATACATCAACAAAATCATTTAACACAACGTACATATGTATATCCTTTACAAAATAAATCCCTACGGTTAAAACTAATTATCGTTGACACCATACTGACACGTGAAGTATTAACGTTGCATATCGTACTGCCATCACTCTCGTTACGATCAAGTAAGACGCATTAAATTTTTACACTGTCACAATTCTTAGAATCTTATGCAATATCGATCGTTAACGAAGAAAATCAATACTCGACGTCAGATCGATTTACCGATTGCCTATATACATAGTTATATCACGATCTACCACGTATACACGATATACCAAACGATCCTGTCTTCCCTTCTTAATTTACCAATATTCTAAGATATATCTCTCTGTTATCAAATATTATTACGAAAATCGCATTTCGTCCCAAGTTATTAACCACGCTCCAATTAGCACGTTATGTTTCACTGAAAAGCGGTTTCAACCACCTTTCATTATACTGCCTCAATTGGTGACCGACTGAATAGCTTCGACGTTCCGGAGCCTTTGTGATCTCGTTGTCTCTATTCACTGGTCATTAAAATTACTACCATACGCATACATACCATATTTGCATTAAGTGACTAAATCGCCGCACCCTATTAAGTGCCGAATACCAATTTCTATTGATGAATAGTCGGACTTCTTTTTTTTTATTTTCACTATTTACTTACATCAGCCAAAAAGAGAGACACTCGTACGCCGGACATGGGCTTGGATATTTATTATGCTAATATTCATGCTAATTTCGAAAATACCAAGAAAATCCGATAATACTTAAAATATATATAAATACCTGAAATTTGGTAACCATGGGTACTTTGGAGAAAAATTTTTATTTTGCAAAATAACACATTATCAACGCTCGATTTGACATCTATAAATGTTGCTATTACCTTTGAATACCATACTATACAATTTACTGGCATTGTGTCTCACGGTATTAACATGTTGCGCTTGCGTAAATTTTTTTCCAAAAATTTTCCGAAAAAGTAACGTCGTTTCCTCTTTATGGCCAACTGGAGGATAATTAAAATGTACCATCGTAACGTGGACGGGGTCAAATAATAGTACGTAGTCTATGTATCACTGTATACATACATATAGTAGTACCGTAATAACGTATCACTATTTAATAATCACACTTTAATGACGTACCTCGCGTGAGTACACATGGCGACAGAATAAATTCTACGAAGATAATGAATCTGGAGACATTAAAAATTAACACTTGTAACAACATAATGGCAGACGGTATAGTATAAGCCTAGCTATAATAAACTTTTGATAATGTATCGCATAGGTATACATATGCCCTGGCGTTACTGACATTAAAGTAAGAAAAGAGCGACTACAAAAATAGGATCTTGATTTGCACGTCTACCAAACATTTGTCCAAGTGAATGCTTTTAGCTCGGATTGTCCTATCTCGTTTATTTTCATATCAACTCCTATGAAAATTTATTACACCCTAACGACTCGCTTGCGAAATCATCACGGCCGGGTACTCACGTACGCACCCATATACATATGACTATTCGCCAGAGGATATTTTTCAGTGAAATTCAAACGTTCGAGTCGCTGACAATTTTACACGGCCGACATGAAATTGTCTTATCGTGATTTTACCGTAATAACACGATATCCGTCTAGACTTCATATTTTCTAGAGTTATCGAACCATATGATAATTGAACACACGTATTTTATCAGACATACATTAATACACGTGAGGAAACGTTTCAGAACGTTTCTCATACAGTTTACATGAAGGACCTTAAAACTTTTTAATAGGAAAAAAAGAACAGTGCACCACGTGCTTTCGTACTGTTAATTTATCTAAAATGTTACTATAGATGCCCTTCGCTTTGGACTTTGGTGGTCCACGTTGATCTGTACCTAAATGAATTGCGCAATTTATATTTATTATTATTCAAGGTAAATCGTTATCCGCGATGAGATATCTGATTATTCAAATTCTACGGCCACCTTGTATTAAGGGCTTTGCCGAATTGGATATGTGTAACGGTACAGACTCTGCTAGTAAGTAAGGATCGTTACCAAAGTCACTTTTATACTTGACGTAAATTTTTGCCCATACGGAGTATAAGGTTATAGAAAATATCAGCTGTTCTATATCTAGAAATACATTATATCGTTGCATAATCAGACTGTAGCTATGTGTTTAAGTATATTGATAATTTTTTATGTTGTTCATAAGTGACAGTGCTTTTGGAGGTTAAAATTAATTAAAAATGTGACAGTTCGATATTTGACAGTTATACTGGATATGGTTGGATCCATAGGTGTCATTGTGTCTCACAGATCCACACGTGCCACCAGAGGCTTTTCATTGGTCAGTCAATCACTGTGTCTGTCCGAACGAAGGAGAAAGGAAGGAAACGCGAGAACGAGCGTGTACCGATAACATCAAGATCAAGAGAGATGGGCGTCGTTTACGAGGAGTCGATCTCCACGCCCTACAGCAGTTCTCCCAGTTATCCTAGCATCGCCTGGAATATCTGGGTCATTGTCGAAAGCAAGGCTACTTGCACCGTCGCGAACACGGAAATATAAATTACCGATCGACCGCGATGTTTACGCCAGCCGAACGATTTTACCGGGCCATTTTTGGCCTCAAGTTGGAATTTCCATTTTCGCATGGACTGCGACCTTCGAGGAGCCTCGACGTACGTTCGTCCCTCGAGTGTTCTTCTTTTATTTTATTTTATTTTATTTTATTTTTATTCTTCGATTCGTCTTCTTCTTGCATACCGATTGTCCTTCCCTTCCGCGTCGGACAAGAAGCGATCGGCTCGGTTGATTTACCTTAAGCAGTTTCACCCTCGTCGATTCTTCCTTTTCGTTCTGCGATTCTCAGGGAATCACCGTCGGGTCTAACCTTTCCTCTTGAGATGCTAATTTCTATGGTTTCTCGTGTAGAGACGGAAGTTAGGAACAAGTGTTAAGTGAGTTCCTTGCTCGGTCGGTATTATAGATTCCGTTCACGGTTCTTCAAAGAAACGGGAATCGTGCAAAGATGATTATGAGATGGGTGCGGTGAAAGGTATGGGCTAGTCGTAATTACATAATTCTAAGTATTTCAACTTGGTGAGAGAGGGAGAGAGAGAGAGAGAGAGAGAGAGAGAGAGAGAGAGAGAGAGTCTTTTTCAGTTTCACAGAGAAATACCACATGCATCAAGATGTCACGGACGTAGGATTTTCTCACGTACTTGTCCAGGGTTATAGGTAGGTCATGCAATACCGGGTAACCTAACTGAACTGCCCTGCAATTCATTTGAGATTCCATAACGACTAGATTTCCGAGTTCAGATAAAAACCGGAAACTACACTCCGGGATGGGAAGTTCAGGAAACTTTATCCTTTCCTGTTGCCTTTTTTTCAATCTCGTTCAGATTTCTTACGCGATGTTACCGGTATATCGTGTGCATTTTTTAATCAGACTTTTAGTCAGTATTACACTTTATCAGTTTCATTATTATCAAAGCCTTTGAGATGTTATTTATTATTTTTGCAAATTATCTTAAAATTCGCGTACGGAGATTTTCGTTTTTCTTTGACATCCGGCGGTCCACTGACACACTAGTATTTTCACCTTAACTCTTAAATGAGCGAAATCTAGGCCGTTTATCCAACAAACATGGTGATCCATCGTATTCGCCGAAGAAGCTCATCGCGGATTTGTCGCCGTCTCTGTACCCGATAAATTCTAGTCCGCAGTTCTGAACATACTAATAGCGTTTCTTCTTATAAGGAAGAATAAGATGATTATCGTCATGACGGATTCTACATTACGACTGCATAAATCAATCAATGGTAACTCTAATTTATATATATATATATATATAGTCAAAACAGTCGGACGAGAAACTTTCGACTCTTTGCTGTTGCCGTCCTTGGTAGAAAGGCAAGACGTAGTCACGCGCATGCGGGAACGTTAAGATTATCAACGAGCGCACCACTGAACCTCGAACAGGCCTAACTGCATACTTGCAGTTGTCCAATATGGATGGTAATTATCTCAATTACCTTCGAGGTCTCGGACTTGCCATACAGTCAGAACTTCAGATGTTTACGGTGTAGGTTACCCACTTTGCATATTTTTGACAGTTGGCATATATAAGTTCAAATCGCGATATATAAATTTAACGTGAACGATACCACACGGATCGAGAACGAGATATTAATTGACGTAAAATTTTAATTATTAAAAACTATTAATTCATAAATTTAAAAAATTACAAAATTCAATATTAAAAATTATATCAGACACAGTCCAACTCTCTCGATAGACGCGGTTAAGAAGCCGTTTCAAATTTCACCGCAGAAACGACACTTCCGGTAGACGTAAATACGGAAATGTTTATTTTATGCGCGCGCCGGTGACTCACGAGCGAAATCAAATCGAAATTCATTAAAAGTACCGAACGTTGCTCTACTTTATATCCAGACCACTTTTCCCACGCGGACGCTATAACAGATGACGGATATTCATGTAAATAAGAGAGATTCTCAATGGCCAGTCTCAAAGCGTCCAAGTTCTGATTTCTATCGAACATTAAGAATGTACCTAGTTACTTAGTGAGTTTCAGTGACATATAGTTATATCCCCCATAGTCGTATTCTCTACCTTCGAGGACGACAAGTTTCTCCAGCGTGAGAGCGGTAACCTCTTACACGGGTCCAGGAAAAAGGATAGCGGCTAGAAGATAACACGTGCATCGGTAGAAGCACCTATTGGTTTGGTGCCGTGGAGAGGCTAGACCCATAATGAAAAAAGAAAAAGCCCCTAGTAACGTAGGTAGAAAAATATTTGTCCAAGTTATTGGTAAGCGCGGTACAGTTTTTGAATAAGATCCAAGCCAACTATATATACGTAGTTATAACTGCATCTAGAAAAGGTAACGCAGGGGCAGTTGACTGGAGATCGTGACTGAATAGTCACTGAGGACGAGGGTCAGTAGGTGCGGTAAAGACTATGGAAGGGCTCTTTTACGTAACAAATTTTCTAAGACGTAGAACCTCTTCCGTATGTATTTCCAAATGTCTTACGTAAATAAGAATATTTGTATAATTATTTTGTAAATACTCGTCATACTCCTCCACGTGATCACACAATGTCTGTTAACCACTTTTCTACGGACTTCATATAATAAGCAGGATTCAATTGCGACCCTTCGGGTCATGACCCAGAAGACTCTCTATGGCCCAGATAGTCCCAAGATAATTATGGTAAAATAAAAAAATTAATTTAGACCCTTATCTCCGTGATGATCCTAATAAAAAAAATGTTGACCCAATCCGATCCAGGTTCTTGGTCCTCTTGAGTAATTCCACCCAGCAGCCACTGACTGCGCCATACCTAGGTCAAAGGTGAACTTGGCCGCAAGAGTTCATAGGCTCGGACCAAGGAGGTAGCACCGGACCCAGGAACCTTGACTCTACCAGCAAAGGACAGGGCACCTGGACCAGGTGTAGGACGCCTTATGTACAGTAGCAATAGAGTCCCTGTACAAGAGCAGGTTAGAAAGAACATCGGTGCAGCAGCCGCTGTCCTGGCTTTGAGTCTCGAGCTGAGAAACGTAGGGGGAGAGCGGTGCCAACATGGCGACTGGAAAGTAAGTGCCCGCCAGTGGCTGAGTGACCCACACACCGTCACCGCTCACATACCGTTCCCAACAATCGCTAAGCACGGAACGATAAGTGTCAAGTTAGTGTTCGGAGTGCGCTCGCTCAGTGGTGCCGTTCGCGACCCCGTGACCGCTGCTGAGCCTGCAACCCTTAACAGTGCCGTAACCCCCCAGCATAGAGCAAGCCTTTTGGCGCGCTACGGGCCAAAGTGCTAACCACTGAGAGAACCACTCACGGCTCGGCCGCCGCGCGTGACCGGTAACCTCCAGTGCAAAAACATTTACATTGTTCATAAGCATCGACTAGGCGAGCCAAGACTCTACTGTATAGTCATTCAATTAATGCTCGTTAAATCCACCACTACTGGTTCGCGGTGGCAGGCGCACTAATTTCTTTTATTTTAATGCTCGTCTGTACTTTTAGCAATTTCTTAAAAAGTGTAGACGACCCGAGAGAGACTCTGGTGTTTTTTCAGACAATTTTGATTTTTGAAAATTAGTATTTTTTTTTAATACCATTTTTTCCCCGTGGACGGATTAATCGATTTTGGAAATTCGCGGCTGGTACTGACTGTGTGTTTGAAGTGAAGGAAAAGCATTACAAACCGGAGATTAATCTGTGAATTCCTAAACCAGTTTGTCACGAGTGACTAGATATACTTGTTTGATTATTATTGTGCGCGGTTGTTTGCGAATAATTTTCAAGGAAGATAATTACTGTTACGTGCATTCGGTTAATGATTTATTCGAGTTCTTGGATATCGTAGATAGCTTGCATCGTTATCAGTGAATTTTAATAATTGACAGTTCCTGTTTTACGTGAGTTTACAGTGAGGATCGAACCCCCCATGCGGCTCCTGTCGCTTTCGATCAATTCACGAGAAACACAGCATCCCCTTCACCTACTCTGGGACGCAGTAGACCAATCCAAGAGATTACTCGATGCAAGCGTGACCAGTCGGGAAGGAGACCGGCTTCTGCAATTTCACCTTCTATCCGTTCGCCAACAAGAAATCAAGTTCAGATCGGAGTCCTGGTTACGGGTCTATAAAAAAAATCGGCAGTTGGCAAACGTGATTAAATTATCGATTCCACAAAAAATTCTTGCCTCCAAACGGTTTTCCACGTACGTGTAATTTGATGGGCAGGACTGGGAAGTGGCCGAAAATCATTATCGTGCCTTTAGACCAATGTGTAAATTCCAAGACGTCCAACCGACGACTTTCTAAAGACTCGCGCCGATACGTTTAGCTCGACCGTTTCAACCGATATTCGAAGTGCGCGAAAGATGGGTTGATTATATCGTGACACTCTGACGTCATCCCAGAACTAATTCTCCGAGTCGTCATTAATCCCAGATCAATGCGACCAGACCTAAGTCAAGCACGTGTCGCGAATCGTAATAATTCTCTGGCTCCCATCTACCACCTACAGCTGGTATCAACATTCCACGTGATACCATCAGTCCCATCCAGTCCCGCAAAGGGACCACCGGTCGCGATAGTGAAACAGTATAGATTTTCGGAACCCGAAGTTACGAATTAAAATCACTTTTGATCATTCACGTGATATACAAATACAGTACGTGGGGAGCAGTGTGCTTTTGTGGATTCGTAAAATGCTAAACTGCACCGACCTGGAGTGCATTCTGCACCATCATCACTACTACGAGCATCTTCATCAGCTGCAACCTCATCTCCCGCCGGATCACGAACGAGATGGTAAGTACACGCACACGTGAATTTTCTCTCCTTTAATTTCACGGCAGATTTCTTACCACCTGGCTCGTAATTACGATCAACAATACCTCATACCTAATTATCGTTAATACTTCACTCCTTACTTTTACTGGCCAGACTTTTTTTTCCCCCATCAACTGATAACTGGTTTACGAGTCGTATGTCTTCGCGATGATGATCTCAGTCTGCGAACTGGATGGATCAAAACGAAAACAAGGGCATAGCTTCTTTTCATCGATTCGCTTTTTTTTTTTTTTACAAATACCAAGGTTCCACGATCTTCATGAATTTTCATATCTCACACGATTCCCAGACTCAGTCGGTATCTACGTTTAAAAGCGGTTTTTTTATAAATGCAGATTTATTCCTTTTGCCAACCACCCAACCCAACCTTGAAATATATACGGCCTCGTCACGAGACATCCTTGTGCTATTGTTACACGAAATTTTACAATTATCAATGTATCCCTTCAATTCCATCTCAACGAGTCTTCTGGCACTTCGCGAAGATGTTCCTACCTTTCGTTTATCGAGGTCGTTCATCGATCGTTGCACTCCTCGCTCTGATCACTCATCAACATTAACCACACGTACATACCGACAAAGGCCGTTGCATCTTCCCTACGACGTCAGTTACTTTTATACATATATTTACAAGTCTTTTATAATCATATATATATATATATATATATATATGTTGTTGTGAATGATACACTGCTTCCACTATCAAGAAGTCAGATGATCATCCGGTATATATCGACGTAAACAATCGTACGAAGGACGATAGCGAATTAGTCAAGGATTTCTCAGGGATTAAACGATGCATCAAGTATACATGTTACATATGCACTTAAAAATGCATCTTGCACCGTCATATCGAGTAATGATAAGATCAAAATTATCAAGAGATGGATATTCCTGGAACAGGTACATTTCGCTATGTAGTTCATCCAGTTGGAAATTTCTCGTCGTTAAAATTGCCAACGATCTCGCCGAGACGATTCAGAGGTTATGCCAATTCTTTTCGCGGTCGCGCGCAGAATGACGTTCTCGCCAATGACCTACAATACGTAGGACAAGGACGAAAATATAATTTTATCACTCTAAGGAAAACTTTGGCGGGTGCACTGTCCTTACTTTTAATTATAGGAAGTTAGTACCACGTTCGCTGTAGGGATATATATATATATATATTTATATTTATATTATTGGAGATTTTACATATATCGCATTTTATATAATTACTGAATGATGAATGGGATAAGGGTGTTTTATTTAACGTGAAATTTTTTCTGTTGTACGTTTATGCATTTACTTATTATTTCAAGGCACTGTACCTTCATTAAATTAAGGATAATGATAAGTGAAAGGATTTTTGAATAATTCCGCAGTTAATTCTTTCGCGAATGTTTTTTGTATTCTGGGCAGGATCGCAATGTTTTTTTTTTTTAAATAAAATCATTGCCCTGAATTCTGTGGATCGTACTAGAACGACCTCGATATATTTCTGTGTAGTAGCGACACACGTATTTATTGGCATCACGAGACCTATCATTGCAGCTGTCTCTGAGCGATTAATCGTAATAGTAATTATTGTACCAGACGCTACAAATCGGCCTATTACTTGCTATTAGAATAAGCTGCTTGCGGTCACAATTGCCGTGTCCAATAAATCTAAAACTCTTGCACCACTAACATCAGCTTTTCATTATCTCGAGCGATGCGAATGCTGAAAAAATATATATGAAGATATTATGCACGCTAGCAGCGTAACGTGAGTTAATCTCGTTAGAGAGGAATGCTGCATTGTCAGATGATAATTGATGCTGGTATAGAGACAATGATGATTTTCATTTAACACCCAACTAGACGGACAGTCATGATAAAATGAACGCTTGAAGCGTCACTGTAAAAACGTCACGGTGACGTGTCAAATTATCTGGATGAAATGACAGAGATAAGAAATCCACATAAGTCGATGCCCAAATCATGGAGATTCTTGAAACTATTTTTGGCTACTTTTTAAATCCTGCAAATTCCTCTCGACTCCTTCATCTTACGTATGTAAAATATCATTTTACCCGCAAAACATTGCGGCTTATCGAACACGTCTTTTATTATCATTTCTCAGTATGGTTTCTCGAGTTAATTAAGATTTTCGAGAATGCATACATTTTCTAAGAACCATGAGAATAAATAGCGATTCGCTTACACCCTGTAAATTGTTAAATTACGGGTGGTCAAGTGTGAAAGATAATTTATAACTACCATCTGCAATGAGTACCTTGAATAACAAGATGACTATAATGACTGTACTAAATCATCAAACGCCAACAACCAGTACCGACGTTTCCCTCCATAATATTAACGTCACTTAATTTTCAGTTAATCAAACCAGAAACATTCCTTCCTCTTGATCCTTTATTTTGACTTTATGCTCTGGAGAGCCAAGTGCCAGGCATTCCTTAGATTCGTCGTTCCTCGTGATTTCTATTGACGTAAGGATTGAACGTTCTCAAAATCATCGAAAAGCAGACTCGTTGTTATTGCTCGAACGGGCGCATTGAACCTAATTGATTTCTTAATGCCTTTCGAACGTGACACACATATATTCGAGTGCACCTGGTTCTTGTATTGGGACAATCCAAGAATTTTAGACTGCGTACGTTGGTTGCACGCTTCACGTATGTTGGCTGGTTTCACTCTAGAGCTGATTACGACAGTTTTACTATTTTCACTCCACTATTAGGTATCTTCTGTAATTGCGTACTTCCTTCTCATAATCGTGCTTAATTTCTGCTCGCATGAAAATTTTTGGAGATCTCTCTCTGTCTCTTTCCCTCTGCCGTATCGGAAGTGACCAGAGGTTAATTTAACGTGGGCATCAGTGTTGCCATCGAACTGGACGGTGAGTGGGCTGATTGAGTTGTCGCCATTTCCGTTCTGCTCTTTGAGATTGCTCGTTGCATCTGAACACGTAGCCTTCCTTCGTATCCAGCCGAGGCCGTATCGTCTGGCAAGGCCAATGCTAACTGGACATCGATTCGAACGATTTGATCAGACCCGTTCATATATACGCACCTCACTTTGCACATATATACTTCATACTCACCTCGACTCGACTCACCTCAAGTTTCAATCCGGTTTGAGCAGCATACTAATATACAGGGGAAGCTCATTCTGCATTAGAATTTGGATACCGTTCCTTAACACCTGCTTCTAAAAGTTTTCATATGTTTTGATCGTTGGTGCATATAATAGAAATTATGTGTGGCCAGGGGGAAGTACGTCATTGGATTCTTTATGATGGGTTTGTATTTTGATCACGGAGTGTATCGTCTTTCGATTAGGCCCACGGGGGGAATTTTATTTGAATTGATTTTCAATCAAATTATTTTTATAGATATGCATTTCCTTACGGCACTGTCACAGTGCGTCATGCGTAATGGAAGTCACGTGTTACGTTGTAGTATGTTTTTTTTGGGGGATTTTCGTGGTCGTGGACCTTTTTAATAGAAAATTGCACGAATTTTTAATAATTGAATCGAACTATTGTTGACTTTTTTGTCGGCAGGATTTTCAGGGCGTCAATTCTTGTTCTCATTTTTAGTTCCGTAAATGGTATATGTATATGTGTATGGATACTGGGCCAACCTTATGCGTTACCCAATGAATACATTGGCTTCTTGGAATCGAGAGCCCCCGGCGAAAAATCAGACAGCGACAGCTCCCGCCGAAACTGGCTCTATAGGGATTGAGTGGAGTATTTTTTTTAAAAGTCATCCCACGTGATGTAATCCTTGAGCCTATTATTATTACGGAGTCATAAACGTGTTTTTCAGCGAATTAAATGCCGGGCCAACGAGGACACGATGAATGCGAACTCATTTAATCGAGGCACTGTAGAAGACCGGGTGGATCTGCAATTTAAAAAAGTTGTCAATAAAATTTTTGAATTTCGTACCCGGTGCAAGTATTCAGAAAATCGTTCATTAAAAAATGATTCTTTACACCGGTACACTTGATAGATATACGTGACGATAAGCACGTCATATATTCTATATATTATGCGTATTCCAAAACATCCTGAAATTTTGAGATCGTTTGTACATTTCGATGCTATTGGAAAATTGGCAATATCATTGACGCAAATTTGGCGTAAGGTAGCAATTTATCGAGATATACCAATTTACCTTGTAATTGATAGCTGCTGCCTACAGCATCAAGAACGAGGATAATCATTCCGAAATTCCTTTTACACTTTATCACCTTGGTAACGTGTCAATTTCTTTTTTTTTTAATTTTTTTTTTACACTGCTTGTATCTCTTAACGTAAATCCACGTGGCTATGCTAATTTTACGAAGTTGCCAAATTTTCTATACTTCGGCATTACCGCATCAGGCTTTGGGCGACTCCGATTAAATTCAGTGAATCGAATTATAATACTTATATACATAGGTTTATGTACGAGGATACATGCATTCAGGTGAATACATAGCTGACCCTTACGACCACTTTCTAACGTTCATATATACGTACATTTTATGTCCGTCCAACTAGTGGGGAGCCTTGGCATACATATCCTCAGGTTGCCAGTCTGATGCGTGTAGAATCTAATATTATTGGAGACCTCAGCCGTCTACGTCATTTCTTGCTGTACGTTACACTCAATTAGATATAGTCAAAGCTGAATAGAAAATATATTGCGCAGTCAATGAGGTCTTTAACCGGCCGTTGCAGAAAAGGCAGAAATATCGAAGAACCTTGGATGCAAGCCTAACCTATGAAATTTCTATACAACACGTACGAGCTTAGATCTATTTTATTTCCAATCCTTTCTCTTTCTTTGTCATTATACTTTCACACGTGTCGGTACTTGCTATGCGCGCGACAATGGCCTAGGGTATACCTCCGATCTTACTTCGGGTAATTCCGCTCTTGTTCGGCATTTTCATGTGTCATGACGAACCAGATTATAAAATGGCCGTTAAAGTAAATGACATGTTAAATGTGTTAGTATCGGGCTATTTTGTAGTACGTACAATTAGTTTTATCTGGGTTTATTCATCCTTTGGCATGAAGCCTATATCGATATTTTGATAATGTTCCACCAGACATTACGAATTGACATTTAAGTGTCTCGATGTCAGTGCTATCGGTCTGGATCGAACGTGTGGAATTTCAGCTGACATACGGACGCAAAGCGAACCCTCTGAAGATTTGAAATTACATTAAGTAAATGTGATTAACCGTATATTGATATCACGCAGTAGATGATGACTGAGTCAAATGATTTTAACTGAGTTGACCCTGGCAGGAGTGTACTCGACCCTGCGCGAACCCTGTCTAATGGAAGTCGTGTGAGTAACTTGTCAGTCAGTTGAATCTGTTAACGCACGAGTAAAACGGTTTAATATATTGCCTATTAAAATTTGCACACGTGACGACGAGTATTAAAAGAACAATTTTTCTCTTCGTGTTTCGGAATTTTGCTGTACCGTTTGAGGTTATATGCCGAATCGGGTTTACTAACAAGCGTAGTTAGTTGACGACGGTACGGCTTTCTTTAAGTCGGTGATTGGCTAGACCTTTTGGCCCTGCGATACTCGCTACGGCTATTCTTTTGCTTCGTTCAAGAGTCACTGTTATTGTTTTCATGTATTCAGTCCCTTGCCCTACGTCTGAGTATGCATTGTGTTCTTTTGAAACAGCATATCCGAAGTATCTAGTAAACGTTACACGAGTTAGTTGATTGTCGGTCGTCGCGACGTTCGGTTCACCGATTCGTTCTGTTTTATCCGAAAATTAATACGGAGTGTAAAATCAGTTCTGTGTTCAGTGCAATTCAAGTTGAATCACTAGTATTGGAGAACGTCATCGATGGTGAGTCAAATTGTTCCATACAATAATAATATAGGTTATGCATGCACAAATTTCAATACGTGTATATGTCTCAGACTTGTTAAACACGAAGCAAAATTATATCGATATTCTCCGTTCAGACGAATCTAACTAATAAGGACTTCTAAATCAGTCGAAATAGAAATAACTTTCTTTCTGTAACAGATAAAAATTCATTCTCTCATGACAGATTAGTTATTTCTATTTATCGGCATGAAGGACTTTGATGATTTAGTAAATGAGTCATTTTTCCGGTACTGCCGTGAGATACAAACCCTGATGTACAATTATACGAGTACACAAGATCTGAATATTCATCGGCATTACGCAAAGGCCAATAAAACACGTAAACACCTAGACAGCCGGACATTGTTCGCACAATGACTGACATCTGTAGACACGAAGGGGATAATTTGTAGTAGTGTCATTATCGTTATATATGCCACGACGATACTGTTAATTTTCGCAGGAAGTAACATAGCGTTAAGGTATGTCAGAATGTTTACTGCTCATATATCCATTACTTCCGTTCCTGCCTACACTTAAAAATATGTTTTCACTTATTGTCTACAAAATACCATTCTTCCTACTCGTGCTGTGAAAATTTTCAATTTCGATATCTCCAAAAAAGAATCCTTTGCAATCATCCTATTAGCATATACCAACCACGTATACAGGGATCAGTAATATTTAATTGTCACGTTGTCACTCGATTGGCACCATCTAAAGTAATTTCGGAGTTTCGGAAACTTTCCTCGATCAGTATGCTAATTATATTCAATCACCTTAGAAACGTACATTGACCATCAGTCATCAATGTCAAAATCTGCCCGTCGATTAACCAGACCGTGAACCGATAGATATGTCCACCGAATTATGCATGATCCTGTACAATCATTACTGAACGTGGAATTTCAAACGTGGCACGTATAAGGGACATGACTATTCGTCATTGGGATAATAAAAATTAACATTCAATAAGTGTCCTGAATATTTGAAGTCCGGTTCCTACTCGTTGAGGTCCTTGGACACAGTGTACCCATCGTCATTTGTAATTCGGCAAAGTACTATGAAATATTTATTGCAGTGGGAACGATTAAATTTTTTTTTAAATTGCTCCACGTCCTTCTTGATATATTTGACATCTCTGCTGTAAGCAATTAAGGGAACGTGATTCTGTCTGCGTATGTAAGCGTTATAAAGAAATATATGTCATTTCGTGTCGCTGACAATCAGTAGATTTGTCTTCTTGAACGCTCCTCACGGAATTATTGAACAGTCTCTCCTTACCTTCGCACGTACATGCTACGCATCGAGCGTGACGCTAGGCGTCTAAATTTCTAATCAAGTTGAACATCGTACTGCTTTATCGAGTCATTGAAATCTAATAAAATTTTTATGCTGATTTTGTCTAGTGGAATTGTTACAGTATTTCCCTCGCGCATTGCCTGTTACCGTCGTTACGTTACTTGAGTCTGATTGCCTTGGGAGATTTCATACCGCGTATTTCCGCCTGCATTTTTATCCGGCTTGCCTGACGAGCAAATACGTTTCCTTTTAGCGATTGCGATGATTATATTTATTTGTCGGGTCATTAGTTTTGTCGTCACCGATCTCTCATGGTCCTATGTGTAAGTTAGGAAACGAAGAATGTTTCTGAGGCGAACTCGATTTCAATGACTGGGGACAAGAACTAAAATTGATCTTGCAAAATTCAAGGCGCTCCTGATCACTCGGATAATAGATGAATTTTAATTTTGAATTTGGATAACGTTCACACGGCCGACGGTTATCAGGAAGTTTGAGAAACGACAATTGCGTGACCTTCGAAATATTATTTCCTGGCATTCAGTTGTATCCACGAGTACATATACGTATATACAGCACTGCTCTCGATAATTCTCTATTGGATTATACTTTTAGTGCGATTAGAGCGTCAGTAAAATTGACAAGGAGACACAACTCTGCGATCGCTTTAGTCGACTTAGCACGCGTGTCACGGAGGAAATTTAGATCCAGTCGCCTTCCAATGGTGTCCTGTTTTTTCGTTAGATTACTACGCGCGGTCTAAATAACCAGTAGCTATTAATAACTGCTTACCAACCTCGAGAAAAAAACATAGACGATACATTTTCTAAAATCAATCTCGCTCCGTGTCTTTTTTTTTTTTTCACCGACCTAGTCACGTTGGTATCCCGATACTTGCACAGCTGTGGGGAATAAAATTCAAATCGAATAATCGATCTGGCACTGTCATAGCTATATGAGCAATATCAATAATTGCTATCCGACGTTGATTAATAAATTTGAAGAAAAACATGTTTTTTTTGTTTTTTTTTTTCAAAATTATCGTTTATACCACGAAATGTCAAAGTAGCTCGTTCTTGCCCAATATAAAATCCGGTTCTCCAGGCTCCTTCGTTTTAATTCGATAAAATGCTGTAATTGGCGAAAAATTTCAAAATTTTACAAACCCTACGAGTAATGCAAAAAAGTCGTCTGGACGTTGAGGCGAAAAAACAAATCTGACACTTGTCAATAAAATTGTGTGATACGTGAAAACTGAGCGACGTGCTATTATCACGCATAAACGTAACGTACAAGGTGAAGGTCGCGTGGTCCGCGCTATGTCAAAGTCGTTAATTAACTCTTATCAGTGAACCTGCTAATGAAAACCATAAATTAGATACGCTAGGTATCACGCGTTACGGTTAACGTTTCGAGGCCCAGTCGCTGTACTGTTAGTGACAATTATCGAGTGTAATGTCGTAACAGCCAAACGATTATTTTCATAGCCGTATTAACGCTAGGAAAGGCTGGTATTAACGCCGTCGACGTACTTCCGGTCCGACGGAACGTTATATCGGGTTAAAAAGGAAAAAAAGAACGGTCAATTAGCGCCTCTGATTTATTTCGCAGAAAGCGGCCAAGTCGTCAAAATGATAATCCCGAGGCTCGTTTACGTTGCCCGTGCGACAGCTCGAAAGTCTCAAGCTAACTCGGCTCGCCCATTGCACACTCTTGTCTCGGTTGCAACTCGGCCGTCGTGACGTTTTAATGTCACCATGTATATTCACTTTGCCGCTTCCGGCTGCCGGCAAAGGTAAACCATTTCAAAGAGACGACCAAGAGACAATCAGACAATCAAACGTTGACAACCTTCACGTGACTTCCCACCCTCGTGATACGCGCCAATTGCACAATGTAATTTCACTTTGTAAATCTACAGGGAGACCGGGGAGCTTATAACGGGTGGTACGATCGAGTCCCTATCGCACGTTCACGGCACCGACGATGTACCGGCTGCTGCGTATACAAATTTATTTTTCTCTTTTCTTACCCTTACCTTCTGCCTCTCTGGGAATTGACATTTGCGCGAACGTGGGTATCCACGGGGGATGTTTATCGTCGTTAAAAATTATTTTCACGAAGAAGATTTATCTCCCGTCGTATATCATTAGTTTGTTTCTCATTCGTAAATACATTACTGTATACACGCGAGCATAAAGTTTTATGTATGAGGCAATCTTTACGTGGCGTTGATAAATAACTTTTTTTTCTCGACAACGACACCCTGTATAAAGTGCTGCGACGAGTAACGAGAGGGACACCCGATAGGTAGGGTGCTTACTCGCGTTAACCAGCAGCACCCCGCTTCTCATTGAGACCAATAGAGGCAATCACGTGCATGCGGGGACGTTAGGTATTCGTCAGGTTAAAATTGCCGATTAGTCTCGCGTGTACAATTTATTTACGTGGCCTTGCGACGCCGACGGTGACGATGAAACTGGGTGGGGATCGGGTGCCGTCGGATCGAGCTCGAAGCTTAAAATCCTTAAGCTCGTTAACCCTCGAGTGAAAAGTGCAGTCCGAAGCTCGTTAATTTATTTGAGTTCAACTTTTACTTTGAGAGCACTCTTGCGGTCTTGGGATCGGCGTCACAGGCATCTCGTCTCCCGTCTGTACGCAGAGATACGCGCACTCGTCGCCGGCCTCACTTTCGGGTATCGCCGTCTTTATTGCACGTTGCGGATTACGCGACCGCTGGATTCTCGAGCCACGTGGTCGCACGTGCATACACGAGGTGCCAATGTAAACACACGAGGCTCTGACAGGGCTTGCCAAAGTTAGGTTAGGCATTTTTTCGTTCCTGTACCTTGTCTCGATCGAACGTATAAATATATGGGCGCTCCTGTAATGGCTGTAACGTTCTGCTTATGAGAGTTGCACGTAAGGACGATGGTACAGTCGTTACGCTCTCCGTCGAATGATGCTCGGCTGTGGACAGTCGCGTTATTTCATTTACCATGGAGTAACGATTTTATTCCCATCGGATCGTCGCTCCTGATAATGATCAACGTATACGATTTTTATCTATTGGTTGTATTACGATCGATTTCTATAGGCGATTGCAGAGGATTATTTAGTTCGGTAACAATATTGTGGACGGCACGTTTTTTTTGTGGAAATGTTATTCTTCTCTGCTCGTTCTAGAGATTCTCAAATTTGTCTTTGTTTTTTTTTTGTTTTGCTTCCTCTCTCTTTCTGTATCGCTGCTACACCCTTGCGCCGGCACTTGTAGTCGTCCAAAGGATTAGCCTTGCTTCATTTTATATAGATGGAAAAACACATCGACCGTCGTTCGACTATCCGGCATTCAAGTTGTTTGTTTGCACGTTTTATGTATTCAAAATGTTTTCATAAAATTGTATACTATACATATTGTACATATTTGAATATGTAATATCTTTGTTGGATAGTTTATTTTTGCCATTTTTTTTTGTTTTTTTTTTTTTTTTTTTTTTTTTTTTTTTTTTTTTTTTTTTTTTTTTTTTTTTTTTTTTTTTTTTTTTTTTTTACTAGGATTCATACTCTCGAATGGTGTTGACGGTGGCTATGTGTCTCTCTGTGTATACACAGTGTATATTATACACTGCACGCCTGACCGCCGTCTTCTTGGATG